ATCAGCCATTTAGAATTCCAAAAGTAGTCCAAGTATTCTCCAAATGTGTCGTAGCAGTATACAGGTTGATGGAGGTGTCGTCGAGTGAATGTCGTCGTCTGTCGTCGTGGCCGGTGGTCGTGGCCGCGGTAAGCAACGAGCGGCGGAGGCGATGAACACATGAGAACCGATCATGTCTGCTGACGCAACGAAGATGATGCCGAGTAACCGTCGGGTCGTATTGATCCCTGTTGACGCCGTACCTAGTCGTCACATTCGGAGACCCCTCGGGCGCGACGCGGTGTAGCTTGTCCTGAACGTCCACCACACTGTCCACGACCGTTCAGTTGGTGTTTACATCCTGGGTTAGTTCGAACAGATGTACAGCTCTCTTGATCTAGAAAGCTGACGCCTCTTGCAGAGTCGCTCGACATAGAGATGGTGTTCGGCTACCCGACGTCATTCTCACTGCTAGATACGCTCGTTCTGTGTGGCGCAAGGTCACTACATCCTTGCAGTACCCAAGCAGACGCCTAACACCTGTGATCAGGGCCTTTCTCCTACTAACATGCCAACGATTCGCATTAGGCGCCTTCCGCCAGCAACTCAAGACGGCAGATACTCCGGACGATGACATCGAACTAGACGCGTTACCGGCGCCCTCATCAGCCCCTGCGCGTTCGACTGCGCAAACCAGCCACTCACGAAACCTGAGCATAGCCAACATCGCCTTCTCCCTCTGCTTTTCCGAGAGCTGCATGCTATTCCACCTTCTCATGGCTCAAGCCGTAGATCTCTACCACCCTGGCTCACGTATGCTTCACTGGCTCATCTCACTGTTCATCTTGCTATCTCTCCTACTGGCCGTTATACCAATCTCACTCAGCCTCGTCACGACATCCTCCCTTTTCTTCCAATGTCGTACGTTCAGAATCCAATTAACTTCGGCAAACGGCAAAATAGTCTAATCAAACTAATAATTGGCCTAGTTCCGGGGCCCTCACGGATTCTGCCGCTCGTGGTGTACTTTATTCTGTTATCTTATGTTCCGTTACCGGATGCGCTTTCCGAGAGCGTCAGTCAGACGTGGATGGGGACGACCTTTGCCAGGCTCGTACTCTTGGGTGTTGTTCTTCTAGGGGGCCTCTCTGGATATGGTTCAGTCACGACGGCTTGGGGATACTTCCCCTTTATCTGTGGTCCTCGACAGTCAGCCCTTTCTCAAACTATTCATCTCGACTTCGACCTAATGCGCAGATGATAGGAAACGTGTTTCTGAGGCGCAGCTGCTCGCATCACAGGAAAGCCATGCGCGCATCGTCGAGGAGCTAAGGCGAAAACGCGAAGCAGTGGCTGCTCAGGAGCGTGCACAGGAGGTCAGTCTCACGCGAGCACGTCCCTACTTCTCTATTGTATGCTTACCGAAACGGTATATCCAGGGCAAACAACAGTCATGGATGGCACGGACATTCCGAGGCGACGAGCTCTCGGCACTCAAGACCGAATTGACCGCACTAAGCGCTCTCGAACGTAACATGCTCGCGGATCTGCAACAACTCCAAGAGCGCCGTGTTGCGGAGACATTTGACCGCACGTTCACCGGCGCCCTATACGTTCTCCTTCGACGCGCTACGGGGATATACTGCATCTTCCGCGGTTTCACTGTGCGTTCTGAATTTCGACCTTCTAGCACTGATGCCGATACTGATGATTGCTTACACAGTCCATCATGAACCTCGTATTGCCTTCGCCGACCTCATCAGGACCCGGCGCTGGCTATCCCGACGTTCTCACCTCACTCCTAACCTCAGTCATCGGTTCTCTACCGTTCTCTCAGGCCACCGTCTCCGCGTTGGAAGAACAAGTTCCATGGACAATCCGGCAGCTCAATCTCATCGTAGTCGGCGCAATCATTCTGAGTAGCTTGCGTCGCGTGCTCGTAGCTCTCCGCATTGTCAGCGGCAGAGGACGAGGAGCTAGCACTGGCGGGGTTCTTGTTCTCGCACAGGTTATGGTGCGTCCATTCCTCGCTATAACTCGCGAATCGTCGCTTACACCTCTTAAACAAGGGTATATACTTCCTCTCAACGCTCGTCCAACTCCGCACATCCTTCCCGCCCTCCCTAGACACCGAAGGCCAAGACACGAACCTCTTCTCAACTTTACCGGAGTACCAACTCTTCGGGCCTGTCTTCGACTTGAGCTTCCTGATCGCGGCGACTGTGGCGGGCTCAAGCGAGTACATCCGCGCGAAGGCTGGAGAGGACATTGATTGATAGAATCGGCTCATGGACAAAGAGAATGGACTGTAGATTATAAGGAACTCTGCGCTGCCGCAGAGGCTTAATCCGAGTCGTGGATGAACGTTGTACGCATTTTGTTGTGGGAGAAAAGATCATTTGACATCGTGACATCTGCGCTACTGAAGTTCGCGCGTCCCGCTCAACCCAAGAAGTCCGATTCGCCCTTCGCGATGAACGCATCAAGACCCTCCGCAATCGTCTTCTCGCCCCCTCCAACAATATCAACAGCAAGACCTCCAGCGTCCTCCCGATCAACGAGAATGCTCAGCGCGAGAGCGACGTCGTCGCGCTATCTACCGTCAGCACACTGAGCCTGTCTCACGAACGTGCGCACTACTCACCGAGATAGACGGCCCCAGATGCGTGCGGCCGATAGTAGCCTTCCCGGTGCCCGGCTCGTCCGTGTACCAACCCGGTCGAACAGTAGTCCACTTGAACGCCGTACGCTGAGCGAGGTTCTTGTCCGCCATATACTGTGTCACCGCATCATCAGCTCGAACGCCCTTGCGAGCCCAAACATGATGCCGCGACATACCTTGGCGTCCAAGTACGGCCCGATCTTCTCGTAGTTGCTCTTCGTCATCTCGAGGTCACCTTCATCCTGCGCAGAATACTTGTCAGATACGCGCCAGTTCAAGACGAATGATCAGAAACGTACGTAGTGAGGCGGAGGGGCCGCCTTATGGTCGCGCGAGTCTGTTGTGCCGACCAGCACAAGCCTCGGCTTCTTCGCCCCCTCCACAGCCTCAATAGCATCGAACACCTTAATAGCGCCCTCTGCATCGACCTTAATGAGCCGCTCGAGTCCGCCGATTCCAGCTGAACCCGCAGCGAAGACCACGACGTCCTTGCCCGTGAAGACTTTAGCGAAGTCAGACACGGAGTCGTCTTCGAGAGACAGAATGAGCGGTTGGATCGCTGGCGAGGCGGCTTTGAGGTCCGGGATGTGGTCCGGTGTGCGAATGATGGATGTTACGGTGTGTTTGCCGTCGTTCGCGAGTAGCTTCGACAGACGGAGCGCGACCTGTATGAGGTCTTCGTGAGCGTCGATCACCGACTACAGCGGGTGATCAGACGTACCTTGCCGTGGCCACCGACGATGACAACTTGTGTGGTAGACATTTTGCTGTAGAGGAGCTGTAGAAGAGAAGATGCTGTTGGATACAGCTCGAACCATGTTGAGATACCAGGTTATATAGCCAGCCTGCCGATCCACATGACCCGACTTCCATTAGCGGTAGGCACCCAGCCGACTGACTCGCCTGGCAAACACCAGCGTATCCATCAAGCACCCCTAAAGTCAGAGGCTAAACCAGTGCTTCCGATTACCTACGAGGACCAGCCGCCAGACCTGTGCGGAACCAATCAGGCGGGGGCGGAACAGACTATGACTAGACGAGAGGTGGGTCTGAAATCTAGTTCTGATGCGCAGCGTCTGGCGGCCGGCTTCGGCAACCGGAATTAGACCGAGTACTGCTCGTAGTCGTCGTCGATCTGTATTGGCTCGCCCTCGCTGACCCACATCGAACGCCGGACAGATCAATTAGTCTCGTATCCAGCCTGGCTGCTCGGAACAGGCCAAGGAAGTATACCGCATAGCCAGATACGCACGAGCGCCCTAGCATCCGATACGCCTCGGCAATCGGGAGCTGACACAGCACGCCCAGAATATGCACGGTATTTCCTTCAAGCGAAGTCAATTCGATCCAGTATCGTACATCGCTTTGTTGCTTTGCTTCATACGTCCTATTCAGCCCAAGAAGTCCGTTTCGCCCTTGGCAATGAACGCGTCGATACCATCTGCGATGGGCGTGTCACCGCCGACCACGTCGATGGCCAGCCCTGCGGCGTCGGGTCGATCAACAAGAACGCTCAGCGCGAGCGCCACATCGTCACGCTGATGGTTGCGGTCAGTCTCAAGAAGAAGTGCTCAGGCTAGAAACAACGTACAGAGATCAACGGCGTCAGGTGAGTACGGCCGATGGTAGCTTTGCCGGTTCCGGGCTCGTCGTTGAGAGTACCGGGTCGAAGGATTGACCATTTAAACGCCGTGCGCTCGGTCAGGTTCTTGTCCGCCATGTACTGCGAGACAGCGATATCAGTCCAAAAGACGCTGCACAGTTAAATACGAACTCGACATACCTTCATCTCCAGATAGTGGCCCATGACACTGCGCGTTTTCTTCACCCTCTCGATATCGTTCTCATTCTATAGTCGCGGAAGATTGTGAGCATAAGCGCGCGAATGACGTCCATGGAGAAACGCACGTAGTGAGAAGGGATAATATCCGTGCTGCGGGAGTCCAAGGCGCTGACCAGAATAAGACGCGGTTTATTCGTCTCGACCGCCTCAATCGCGTCGAACACCTTCACCGCGCCTTCGTAGTCGACTTTGCGCGTACGTTCGGCGCCGCCTTTGCCGCCGGCACCCGCGGCGAACACCACGACGTCCTTGCCGGTGAAGGCCTTCTTGAAGTCGGAGACAGATGCGTCTTCGAGGGACAGGAGGAGATGATTAATGGCGGGTGAGGCCGCCTTCAAGTCGGGGATGTGATCCTCGGTGCGGATGATGGATGTGACGGAGTGCTTGTTCCCGCTTGCGAGGAGTTTAGCCAAGCGGAGGGCGACCTGAGCTCATCGCCATGAGCAACTGAATCCGCCGGGTGTTCAATATACGCACCTTGCCATGGCCGCCAACAATAATGACTTGTCTGAGAGACATTCCAGCGAGTTTATGGTTGTTGAACGTCAAGAGCCGACGTCGAGCGGAGAGCTGACTGAGGTATACGTAGGCGGTCCAGTGTCATCCGGCGCGAGTGACATTGACGGGCATGGCGTCATTGGGGGCGCATCCTCTACTTGCTCGTCTATTTGGGGAAGTGCATGTACGGTTTCTGTCGCCCTTCATAAGCAGGTGATAGTACCAGGTCGGAGCTGGTCGGATGAAACCATCAAGGAAGTCAAAATACCAAGTCAAGGCGAGAAGCAGGTTCGAGCGCTTGCCTGTGGCGCAGCCATCAGCGCGACGTGATGGCGCGCGTCGCGTCTACAGTAAACCTAAACTTGTCCCAGCCATTACTTGCGCGGTTCCAAGAGCAGTTCGGAGAGTATCTGACAGATCTTCGCGTAGTGTGAGCTCAGATATGAACGGTGTCATAGCACAACGCGGCCGCGAGAGACGTCATTATGGTACAAGAGCAAGCGGGCCGCGAACTAGGCCTCCCATGCCGTGGGAAGACACGACGCGCGCGTCAGACCGTTCGAAATCGACTATCGACCGTTCTCTTTCGCCACGACTGTCAGTCGATAGGCAGCCTATGATATATGACGGACCCTACACAATGAGCCCTGCGCAAGCCACTACAGTGTGACTGCTCTTCTCTTTCAGACCAACCGGACACGTCACCTAGTACACCTACCACACGCGCTACTACATGCGCACAGCCATTCCTTGCCGGCGAGCGATTCGAAGAGCCTGCGCGTCTCATGTTCACCGCCCTACGAATGTTGATTCACCGCCATTCACTGCCCGCGCTTCTCAACAATAGGTTATGAGGAGCTGACGCTACGACATCCGGCCGCGACGTTGAGGTTGCATATAGTACTTAAATAAAGTTATATGTAGTGCTTCTCCCGTGATGTCCACGATCTCCGCCCGCACCCTTTCCTTCGCACACGCCAGACTCGATGTCCCTTTCGTCTACCGCCACATCCCGATACAAGCGGAATGGCATCGTCTTCCGCCCATTCTCCAGCCCAATTCTCACCAGATGAAACGTCGACAGAGGCCGCAGATCGACTCACGATACCACAGGCGTCCAGTGGAAGTTCTCCAGCTGGACCTGGGCGTGAGCCGCAAGACCAGTGAGCGAATAGACGTACAGACGATGGCACCTCAATCTGACGTGTGCGTTCAGACCTGCCAATAGATGCGACTGCAACGGCCTTGGGGAGACGTTGTGCAGTCAGATCACCTACCGCCACGTCCTGCGCGAGGGCAAGTTTGATCTTGCACAGAGAGATCTCGAGAGGGAATGGAAATTTGCGGTGGCTGTGGTGAGCTCTCTGTAACACGCTTGGTCAAGCAGATCTGCGAGATAACGCTCGAACCCGTAGTTGCTGCCATTGCTAGCGTGCGTGTTGGTCTGCCCGTATGATATATGACGCGGTGACCTACTGACCTGTACGACTGTAGGATCGAGATCACGATCTTTGGCTTTGGATCGCCCACTTTCTTCTCCATGGATGGGATGTCGAAGAAGTTCATCGCCGTGGCAGGGCTGGTAACCGTACTCGGACTGCTTCACGTCGTTCAGCTTGTCTATTGGTACGCAGGCGTGGATGTCAGAGTATTCGAGGTGCATCCCGTGTATCAGGCCACCCTCCAACTCTGACAGTCACTGATACAGGCTTTCGTAGAAACGCGCTCTGGATTGCTGGTCTACCCACAACTCATTCGCCATCAACTCCCGCTTGCCTCTCTTATCAGTCATCATCTCAATCCTCATGACATCCGCCTACGTGCTGGCCGTCATTCGAGGAGAACTTGGCGACGGCGTCTGGATAACCTGTGGCGTATCTGTGTCACTCGTCAATCTGCAATGGTTCCTCAAGGGTTGCGAACTTTCTGTAAGGGCGTTCCTGGATGCCGCACAACAACACTATTATGGCAGACGTGGAAGCAACAGATACAGTGTCGCCTTTCTTGGTGTACGGGTGCGTTTGGAATATGCAGTCAGCGTCATCCGTTTCTGCCCTCATTAACACTTGCTTGGCTGTAGGTCATGGCATTGGTCATGTAAGCGCCACATTACCAAGGTATCGCGCTTGTACGATTGACCCACTTCGTTCCGTAGCACAACAATGTCAAGAATGAAGCTACGCACTTTAGACGACGACGGTATAGAGCACACGGATTATATCTCCTTTTTCGGGCGATGGGTGAACGCCGTCAGTACAGCAATTCTCTGCGCATTCTTCGCGTACAAGCATTACAGGCTGGGAAGAGATAGCGAAGCCCTTGCGGTACGTACTTTACTAAATGATTCACGCTCCGTCTAAGCGTTTCATATCTTCATATCTCATAGGGCTATCTTGAGACACGTCCCGACGCGGCCAGATCCCACAGCACTTTGTACGCTGTGACGGATCTTGTCATGATGAGTCTCGCCCTGTTCGCGGACGGCCTCTCTATGCTTTATGACGGCCGACTCCCCGAGCCCTATCTGGTGGCTCATGCAGTACAAGTCGTCTCGATCGTCGTGGTGGAAGTTTGGGGGAGGGTGTATGAACGCCGGAGAGCCGTTAGATTTCCTAGAAGACTCTGAGTGAGAGGGCGGCCCGTATGAAACAGCTTGTATCGGTCGGCTCTCCAGGTGCGCACGGCTGCAAGGGCTTGTCGACAGTGTCGAACGCTGACGCGCGGACCTTCGACGTAGGATTTGGTACGATCCCTCGTGACGCCTAACTCGGAGAACGAGGGTATACCAGTTAACTTGAGAGCGTAACTGATTTGCGTGTCTGCGTAATGTAATCGTAGGGTACGATGATATATGGGATGATTATCTGTCAGAGCGTAATGGCTGGGTATTGCAGTCGTTTGCATGACTGCAGTACATGAAGGTAACCGCAAAAGTTGGCACAGCTCGGTCTAATCTCGGGTCACTGGTCCGTCCCGAATAATATTGGGACCAAGACAAGAACAAGCAGCGCAAACGTCTTCGCAACCTTCACGTATCCATGCAAACGGCTGTAAGAAAGTTTTGCTTCGCCATGGTGGTCGAAGTTCAAGCCGCGGACCACGCCTCCCCTGCCGTGAGAAGACACGACGCGCGCGTCAGACGGTTCGAATCCGGCGTTCTCTTTCGCCACAACTGTCAGAGTCAGTCGATGGGCATCCTAAGCCTATGACGGACATCCGCCTGTCGCTCCTGCGCAACAAACACCGCGCAAGCGACTACGCTCCCCTTGCCGACAATCCAGACTCCGCCTCCACCTCTCCTCGCCCTCGAGCAGGCTCGAACTCTCGCTCACACTCCAACTCTACGTCCCGGGCCTCACGCATGCTGGGCAACATGAAACGGCGCTACTCGCGCGACGATGAGCACGACGAGGGCGCGCGCTTACTAGCAGACGAAGAAGCCACAGAAGAACGCATCGAGATCGGGCCCATATCGCGCTCGCCCTCCTCATCCTCATCCAAGAAATCCAAAGGCGCACGCACATTCGCCCCCGGCACGCCCACGCCCTGCGCGCCCAACGTCGTCCGCAACCAAAAATACACACCTATAACATTCCTGCCCGTGGTCCTGTACGAGCAGTTCAAGTTCTTCTTCAACCTCTATTTCCTCTTGGTTGCACTGTCGCAATTCGTGCCGGCGCTCAAGATCGGGTTTATCGCTACCTATGTCGCGCCGCTGGCGTTCGTGCTGGCTGTTACGGTCGGCAAGGAGGCGTGGGACGATTGGTTGAGGGTGAAGAGGGACAGAGAGGCGAATGGCGCTTTATACGTTCTACTCGATACATCACCTACCGCCCGCTCCTCGTCTTCCGCACGTGGTGGGAATGGGAGATACGCAGACGAGGAGGAGCACGAGACGCTATTCGACGCCGAGCCAGGACTGGACCACGAGCCCCCGACGCGCATCGTATCCTCGTCGGCCCTGCGCGTGGGCGATCTGGTCGTGCTGGAGAAGAACGCGCGCGTGCCGGCCGACATGCTCCTCCTCCGCACACGCGACTCGAGCGGGACGTGCTTCGTGCGCACGGACCAGTTGGACGGAGAGACGGACTGGAAGCTACGCGTCGCGGTGCCATCCACACAGTCCCTGCGGTCCGACAACGCGTTGCTCGACTTTATTGCTGCGAAGGGCGATCACGGGGATGGCGATGGAGAGGGTGGGAGAGTGGAGGTGTACGCCGCGCCGCCGTCCAAGGATATTCATTCATTCGTCGGGACGTTCAGAGTAGGCGAGCGCGAGGAACCGCTAAGCGCCGAGAACATGCTCTGGGCGAATACCGTGCTCGCCGCTGGATCGGTGATCGGCTGTGTGGTCTATACCGGTCCGGAGACGCGTGCGGTTATGAATACCAGCCACCCAAAGACCAAGGTGCCGTTCTTCTTCCCACGCTATACCACTGTATGAGATGCTGATGGGTGTGTATATGGTTGTAGGTTGGGTTATTGGATATGGAGATCAACGCGCTAGCGAAGATCCTCTGTGCAGTCACATTCGCCCTCTCGCTCGCGCTCGTAGCGCTCAACGGGTTCCGCGGACCATGGTACATCTACGTCATGCGTTTCTTGATTCTCTTCAGCAGTATCATCCCCATCAGGTGCACCCACTCTCTTCCTCAGATAGTCTGAATGAATGACACTGACTATGGTGTATGTGTGCAGTCTGCGCGTGAACCTCGACATGGGCAAAACGTTCTACGCACGCGCTATAGAGCACGATAACGCCATCCCGGGAACCATCGTCCGAACGAGCACATTACCCGAAGAGCTCGGGCGCGTCGAGTACCTCCTCAGCGACAAGACCGGCACTCTTACACAGAACGGTTTGTCCTGTCCTCCCTCCTCGCACTCCACCATTCTCCCTCTTTCAATCACATGTCCCAATGCTGATGAATTGCAGAGATGGAGATGAAGAAACTACACATGGGAACAATGGCATTCGGCTCCGACGCCATGGACGAAGTGTCCGAACGGCTCGCAGCGGCATTCCAATCTCTTTCCCCACATACACGGCAGCAAAGTGTGACTAGTCCGACGAAGCAGGGCTTCGGAACGGCTGGGGCGGGGAGGAGGAGGGATATGAGTGCGCGGGTGAGGGACGTTGTGTTGGCGTTGGCTTTGTGTCATAACGTATGTGTCCTTTGAGCTTCTCGCAGCTAGCTGCATGAACGACATTGGGTGTACTAATTGGTTTTGTGTGTGTAGGTCACGCCGGTTGTGAACGATGATGGGAGTACGACGTATCAGGCTTCGAGTCCTGACGAAGTCGCGATCGTACAATGGACAGAGAGCGTCGGTGCGTGTCCCTCTCCATCTTCTACACACTCCCTCCTCCATATATGCGCGCATATACCCCGCCCCGCCCCTCCCC